TGTTTATGCTTCAAAAATGTAGTTGAGCGTCGTGAAACTAATCTGAAGATAAAGGGGTTGATCGAGAAACTAGATTCGATTGATCAAAAGAAAGATGAGTTTGGTTTTCCTCCAAGTGGTGGCCATGATTTGCAGGAATTTAAGCGAATTGAATCGACTTCTTTTGGTGATTCTGCAATTGTACATGGTCGAAGTATTGATAAGGAAAACCTTATGCAAAATTTGTTGTCAGAGGGGGACAGTGGAGTCAAGATTGTTTCGATAGAAGGGATGGGAGGGGTTGGGAAAACAACTCTTGCTCAAATAGCCTTTAATGATCCTGAAGTTGAAAAACATTTTGAATTAAAAATATGGATTTGTGTTTCAGATCCTTTTGACGAGATTAAGATTGCAAAATCAGTTCTTGAGGCCGTTAAGGAGCCTTTCTCCGACATCTCGAATTTACAAATGTTCTTACAATGTGTGAAAAACTCAGTTTCAAATAAAAGATTCCTTATTGTCCTAGATGATGTGTGGACTGAGGACCGCAAGAGGTGGGAACCCCTGAAAAACTCTCTCCAGGATGCCACCGGAAGTAGAATTTTGGTGACAACAAGGAGCGAACGCGTAGCAAGAGCGATAAGCACNCTGAAAAACTCTCTCCAGGGTGGCCCCGGAAGTAGAATTTTGGTGACAACAAGGAGCGATCGGGTTGTAAGAGTGATAGGCACGGACACACGGCAACCATTGGGCCAACTATCCGATGATGACTGCTGGTCATTATTGAGTAAGGTAGCTTTTGTTGGAAAAAGTAAGGAGGAGCGCGAGATACTAGAAGATATTGGTAAAAAGATTGCGCTGAACTGCAAGGGGTTGCCCCTTGCTGCAAAAACTATGGGAAGCCTGCTATGCTTCAAAGATACTGTAGGAGAGTGGCTAAATGTTCTCGAGAGTCCTTTGTGGCAGTTGGAGGAAGCGACGGTTGAGCTTTTTCCCCATTTGTATTTGAGTTACAATGATTTGTCTCCAGTACTTAAGCGCTGCTTCTCTAGTTGTGTCATCTATCCAAAAGATACCTTGATACGTTTGGATGAGCTTATCAGGCTCTGGATGGCACGTGGTTATCTTGGTTCAAGTGGAAATGTAGATAGCATGCAAAGGATGGGGTTAGAGTTCTTTAAGATACTAGAAATGCGATCTTTCTTTCAAGAGTTGGTAAAGGATAAATATGATGAAAGTAAAATCTCTTGCAAAATGCATGATATAATGCATGACTTCATTACTTATCTCTCAAAAGATGAGTACATCGTAATCTGGTATGGTGGAGTAGAGATTACGAATTGTGATATCGGAAAAGTTCGCACCTTTTGTGCTAGAAATGTTTCTCAAGAAGGTCTCCCTCTCCTTAGTCGTTTAAAATGTGTTCGGGTACTTATTGCGAGCAATTGCGGTTTGCAAGAACTTCCACAAGAGATAGGAAAATTAATTCACTTGAGGTATCTTGACTTGAGCTCCAATCCTATAAGAGAACTCCCAGAAACCTTGTGTGATTTGTATAATTTGCAAACCTTGGATCTCCGAGTTTGTATCAATCTCTCTGCACTCCCTCAAGGGATCTACAAACTAATAAATCTACGACACCTTCTCTTTCATATGGGTTCGACAATGGAGTCAATTCCTCAAGGAGTGGAGAGATTAACCGGTCTTTGGATTTTGAGCGGTTTTAATGCAGGAAGAGGATCAAGTAAGTTGGGATATTTGAGAAAACTAAACCAACTTCGAGGATCTCTACTACTTGATCTAAGAGACTTGAGTGAGTTAGAAGACTTGGATGACGCTAAGAATGCAGAATTAAAAAATAAGAAATACATTCAAAAGTTGAGCATAACTTTTCGTGGGGAGGTGAGAGTGGACATAATGGAGGCTCTTCAACCACCTCCAAACCTGCATTATTTTCGAATGCATGGATACGAGGGCACCCAATTGCCAGTATGGATCACCACGTCCCTTAACTATTTAAGGGTGCTTAATTTCTCATCATTTGGGAACTACTCATCTTTGCCCCCGTTGGGAAAACTACCAATGCTTGAGGAGCTTGAGATATCAGCCATGGATAGCATGAAATACGTGGGCAATGAATTCTTGGGGATACTGGGGACTATCCATAAACTACCGTCTGCGGAAACTGCATTCCCGAAGTTGAGGAAATTGCTTTTTTCCGAATGTGACAACTGGGAAAAGTGGGAGGATATAACTGGGGATGAAAAAGACCATCTCTCAATAATGCCATGTCTCAGGGAGTTAGAAATCGATGATTGCAACAAGTTAAAGGCACTGCCACATTGCCTCCTTCGAATGGCATCGTCTCTGGAGTATTTGACAGTTAAGAGCTCCTTATGTCTAGCTTCGCTTTACGGGGACAGGACTGGAGACGAATGGGACAAGATATCTCACATTCCCCACATTAAGGTAGACAGTTTGGAAGTTATAAAAAGGTACGGCTTCCGTGAACAACTGTTCCATAAAAGAGTTTAATGCTGATTTTTTCTTTGATGTTCCATTGATTTTTGTTCAAGGGCGTCTGCTCTTATCAGATTTTTATTTTTTATATTTAATACAGTTCTGGGTAAAAATCACTGCATGCCCTCTTTCTGCAGATAGTTTTTCAATAAAGTTTGGGGCACCTGAGTCTAATTAACAATGTTTTAAGTTGAAAGAAGTTCTTGTTTTAACTAACATAATTGGTCAAAAAGTTCTTTATTATTTTTTCTTTGCTTCCAACAGCCACCACTTCGACAAAATTATTGCTAATCTCCCAAAAACTGTGACTGAATTTCAATCCTTAGTACGGTTTAATATTTTCTAAAATTTTTGTTGAATTTACTTAGTTTAGTTCTATTCCACCCCTACATATTTGGGTGGTGTTTTCAAAATGTTACAAATTTTTTTCTCCTTGAACTCTTATCATTATTTTGCCATTGTCTAGATGCAAAGTGAATCATTCATATTCAACCAAGTCCGTATACAAATGTGCATTTATATTTGATCGCGTGTACTAACATTTTACATTTTTATGTTGAATTGTAGGCCGATCCCGATGCATTTATTGCAATGGAATTGAGCAGAATAGTTCCTGCATATGAAATTGGTGGCGGATCTTTGTGTTGAAAAACTATTTCGTAGGAGTTGTACTTATTGAATGAGATTGTAATATCTTTGTGTTGATGCGTTAGTCATAAAGTTTGTGAGTTTTAATACATTACATATTTCAATGATTGGTTTGAAATTTGGTATTGATTCTTTGATGACTTTAATGTGTTGGTGGGTAGGAAATTTGGTTTTCATATATATTTTTCAAATTGAAAAAGATGTGAAAATTGCACAGGATAAAAATGAAAAAGGCAATGTACCATCCAAGTACTCCGAGTAACAAAATGACAATTGATAGTTTAAATAGCACTTTCACATTTTCAATAAATTTATTTCGACTTGACCCTATTCCTATTTCTATCAACACAAACTCAAGAAACAAACTTTCACCATCTTTAAGGGTTCGTTTGGCAATGTTCTGCTTCTTGTAGAAATGTTTCCTAAACAAACTTTAAAAACTCAGATATGAACACAGGTGCTGAAGAATTCTGAAACATGAGTGGAAACCACAGGTGGGAATCCCAGTAGGCTAATCCAGAGCATTGTTTAATTTGAGCAACTGTATTATATATGAACACATTTCAAGTTTTAATCAAAACTTAACAAATATAATATCAATTTCTATTCAAACAACTCATACAATATTTTTAAAATATCAATATCTTAATTCATAATATATGACTTTTAACATATGACAAAAATTAAATATTTCTGTGGTTCATTTGATCCATATACATTCTCCACTATTCGTCCAAGCTTTAAAGGTAATATGGACTTCTTTCTATCCATATCCACGATTGTTGACTTTGAATTTCTGCTTGCTTCTTGGGCAATCCACCGTTTATTTGATTTGTGTTAAAAATAAGTGTGTATAAATTTGGTTAATATTATTTTTAAATGTATTGTACACTTTTAAAATATATAAATATACAAGATAGAAATGATATTGTTTTGCTATGAGTTTATCGTAGATTATTGTTAGCACTGTATAACAAAAAATTGGTCCGCGCTGTACAGACACCAGTGTCCGCTCATGTCCGAGTAGTGCGGACCAATTTTTTTTTTAGTCCTCGTTTTCACACTGCAATCCCTTAATTACTGTTCATTAACTGGTTCCTCTAAATATCTCTTATATAAAAGTGGATTTTGTGATCTCTCTCTTTCTCTCTTCACAGGTCCTCTGCTTTTGGAGGAGCTCGTCTCTCGACCAAACCTAAAGAGGAAGATGATAGTTATATTCGCCCAGATCCACTTCATTTTTTTTAAAGTGTTCAGCTTGCAAATGGGGAGGAAGTTCAGCGGTTTTCGATCGAATTGGAGAGGAAGTTCAGTGGCCTTTAGTGAAGTACAAGGCTGCAATATTCTTCAGTTGTATATTTTTTAATCATCTTTTTTTTTTTTCATTTTTGTTGTTCAATCTTTGAACCTAAAATGCCTAAACTATGTTCCTTTCATATTCTTACTCTATGTTTTTTGTTTAATTTCTTTCGGTTTGTTCAGCTCTACCGTTGAATATGTGATTTTGTTTCCTTTTTTTTCATCTTTTAAGATATAATAAATATAGATTAAATCCAAAATACCTAAATTACGTTCTTTTAATATTTCTATTATGTATTTTATTTCATTCTTCCGGGATCTACTTTGAAGCGTTTAATTTGTTTACTTTCGCATTTCATTGGGGTTTTCTGAAACTTCTTCAAAAGAACATAATATTGACACAGAAAGCGAAAACTAGTGACCTCAGGTATGTCCGTAGCATTGTTTAATTTGAGCAACTGTAGTATAATATCAATTTCTATTCAAACAACTTATAATATCAATGTCTTAATTTATAATATATGACTTATAACATATGACAAAAATTAAATATTTCAGTGGTTCTTTTAAAACTTTTATTTTATTTCTTACAATTTTAATTATAATTCTAAAATATTTGTGTATAAACATCGATACTTCAATTTAACAAGTGATCCATTAACTTAGCCTGGTCTATGTCTTGTTTGGATAACTTTGGGTGCTATTATGTTAGTGTTAGAAGATTTTAGTGGAAATTGCATAGAGCCCTACTTTTGGAGATCCAATT